TTTTCCAAGCAATTCAACCCCATCTTCATCACAATATTTGGCATCGATTTTCGATGTCACATAAATATCAAATGCCATTTGTTTTTGGTCCAATGATGCTGGGATAAAAGTTCTTGTAACTTTTTCGTTTATGGAGACTTGAGTGCCCCTAGTAGCTAGAGTTTGGAATGTTTGTATCAATCCTCCTGAGAGTACGCGGTCTTCTGGGTCGGTATTTTCCCATTTGCGAACAATGGGTGTTCCTTTAGAAGAAATATCATAATTATCATGAGAAATTATTCAAAAACACGTATTAGACATATTTTTACATATTTGATTACCATAAGTCCACTTTAGCACTCTATCTAATATAATGTTCTCTTTAAGTCCAAATTTAACAGCACCCTTTAAAATTGCAGTTATTGGTTGAGTTGGAACAGAAATAATATTTACTTTTTGTTTGAATTCTTCTTTAATTCTCATCTGTAAATATTCCGACTCACTAAAACCTCCAACTAAAAACATAGCAGAACAATTTCTACAAGCACTTAATTGACCATATATTAAAGTGATTATTTTAGTTATGACTGGATCAAACATTTCTTTTACATCTTCAAACTTCGGTTCAATTAACCATTGCTCTTTTTCCATGATTTCTTTTTCTTTCCCAGTTACGATCGTTTTTATGTTCGGAAAGAATTTCTCCAAGTCAAATTCAACGGATTCAAATATACCAGGATTTCCAATGAAAGGTAATTTAACCTGATGACTAAATTCTTAGTACGTACATAATAAAATATAATACATTAGATTAGTGAAACCTAACAGAACTGTATCTCTATAGATCAAAAACATATCAATATCATTTGTACCTTGAATCAGATGTTGAAGATAATAGTAATGATTTTCGGTTAAATATTCTAAACTAGATTTACCAATCTTTCGGCCCAGGAATTCAAGAAATTCGCGATCGATAAAAGTACTACCACAGAAATCACCAGAACGTTCGGTTAATTCGCTCAAATGTTTGCTTACTAAAAATTCTCGAACAGTCAAGTCGACAGTACCACCTCCACAATCTACTATCATATACGTAGAACCAACATCTAGTTCATGCTCACTTAGTATGTCAATGCAATGCACTGCCGCTGCCTCGGCTAAAGAAACAACGTATGTATTATTTATTACTATATATAAAATTATATAAACGTCGAAATACCGAATGACCTACGCTCTGTCATAAATATTAAGTTCTGGCTATTCATATCATCTATCAAATTTGCATTAACTGCACATTCTCTCATCACAGAGATATCACGGTCGTCAAATTCTGCAGGGATCTAATAACGCATGTACGTACATATTATTACAATATCGGATACAATAAGTACATATATACAAATTAATACATACAGTGAGGACGAACAAAACTTGACTAAAAACATCCAAACGCTGCCAATGTATTTTTAAAGTTTCATGAATCTTTTCGCCCATCTTACATAAATAATCAGTTATAGCTTTCCTATAGTCCAACCCTTCCGGTAATGGAGGTCTGGTTGCCAATTTTCCTAAATACAGTTTAAATAACTCGGCAGGTTTATTTTTAAACTCTTCAACTTTTCTATTTGGCTTTTGAGCTAATGCAATGTATCCCCATGATTGTACATTAAAGCGTTCATCATACTGGAGGACGGTTGGTATTTTAAAATGCCCAATATAACCTTCCCAATTTTCGTTGGTGATAATGTCTTTAGGGCTTGATCTGTGAGCATAAGAAAATCCCTATAATATACAGGTGGTTAAGCTATAGTAAAATGCGGATAATTTGTATTTGTAAACATCAACTTACCGAATAAGTTGTGCCAAAATCTGTCACAAAAGTATAAAGTTATTCAAATCCAGATATATACAATTAACGTCGTGATGATATTTTGTAATTATCTAAGAATGTATTTGAACAACCTACCGATTGCCACGACGACACGAATATCTTGATCCTCCGACATGGATATTTTAAAGAAAAAAAAAACGAATACTTTTAAATGTTAAAATTTCACAATTTATTTTTAAATTGCAGATTTATTTTTAATTATTATTTTGTGAACGTATAAAAATCCTTTTCTCTTTTTATATGGAATCTTACTGTGACAATTTATTTAAAATGTGATTAACAATAGATCACATCTACTCAAAATCACATTATTTTAATCACTTTACTTTTATCACAAGTTAAAAAATTTTTATGCGTAATTTGTACGTACTAGTTTGCATAATTTATTTATTTATATATTTATTTATTTAAAATCATTTAAAGTGATGAAAATATTTAATAAAGAACGAATTAAAGTCTTGAAATTTTTTAAAAAAATGGGCCAAACTCAAGATCCTGACGGAGACGTTCAAATGACTGATCTTGGAGCTGAAAA